ATATCTGATAAGGGGTTAATATACAAAACATATAGAGAACTCATACATCTCAACAACAAAAAAAACCAATTAAAAAATGAGTGAAAGATCTGAACAGACATTTCTCCGAAGAAGATATACAGATGGCTAACAGGCACATGAAAAAATGTTCAACATCACTATCAGGGAAAAGCAAATCAAAACTACAATGGTATATCACCTCATACCCATCAGAATGGCTATAATTAATGAGACAGGAAACAACAAGTGTTGGAGAGGATGTTAGAGAAGGGAACCTCCATATACTGCTGGTGGGAGTGCAGTCACTATGGAAAACAGAATAGAGATTCCTCAAAAATTTAAAAATAGATCTACCATATGATCCAGCTATTCCACTGCTGAGTATTTATCCAAAGAACTTGAAAACACAAATGCGTAAGGATATATGCACCCCTGTGTTCATCACCGCATTATTCACAATAGCCAAGACTTGGAAGCACCATAGGTACCCATCATGGGATGAATGGATAAACATGTTGTACATATAGACAATGGAATACTAGTTGTCCATACAAAATGATGAAATCTTGCCATTTGTGACAACATGGCTAGACCTTGAGGGCATTATGCTAAGTGAAATTAGTCAGAGGAAGAAAGTCAAATACCATGTGATCTCACTCATAAGTAGAAGATAAAAACAACAACAAAGACATAGAAACAGAGATTGGATTGGTGGTTACCTGAGGGGAAGGGGGCAGAGAGGAAGACGAAAGAGGTGATTAGGCACATATGTGTGGTGATGGCTTAGTCTTTGGGTGGTGAACATGATGTAATCTATACAGAAATCAAAATATGATGTACAATAATGTACAACTGAAATTTCACAAGGTTGTAAACCATCAAAAACTCAATCAAAATTTAAAAAAATTAATGATGTACACCTGAAATTTATGTTATAAACCACTGTTCCTGCAAAAAAAAAAGAATAAAAAATTTTAAAAACATCCAAGTTTTAGACAGTATGTAGAGTAATTGGAAATCTCATACATTACTGTCAGGAACATAATCTGGTAAAACTTCTTTGGAGAAAAGAATGGTTGTGTCTACAAAAGCTGGTTATATGCAGACCTTATTACTCAGGCATGCCACTTCTAGGAATTTATCCTCATATATATTTATATATCAAAAGATACAGAGAATATTTATGCCAGCACTATTTGTATTTGCCCCAATTTGGAAACAACCTAAAAAACTCTTTACCAATAATGGAATGGATAAGTAAATTATGATATATTTATACACTGTAATGGAATGGCAAAGAGCAATAAGAATTCATGAACTATTGCTACATTCAACAAGAAGGATGAGTCTCATAGATATTGAGCCAGAAAAACCATATACAAAAGCGTGCACTACTCTATCATTCAGTTTATATGAATTATAAAAACAGGAATATCCAATTGATTGTGATAGAAATCAGGGTAGAGATTACTCTTGGCGAGGGAGGAAAAGGAATTGGGGGGCCATATGAGAGCCTCTGTGCTGAGAGATCTGGATCATCGTTACACAGTACGTACAGGCTGTGAAAATTCGTTGAACTGTACTTTTGTGGTTTTTGCATTTCCCATAATATGTTTCAATGAACATTATCTTAAAAAGGTAATCTTCAGCTTTATGGGGTAGGGTTTAGGTAATTTTACTTAACTTTTAATTTGTATTAAATGTACATACACTTCAAAAGTCTATGATTAACTGTCATAATTAAAGTGTTATCTGTTAATGCATTTATTTGTACCTTAAATACTACTGAATCAAGCCTTGTCCTCTTAGAGGTAGACTAGAGACAACATGATCTGACTACAAATTATTCTGTGCAAATTGCGACAATGAGAGGCTTCTTGTCAGCCTGAGCCTTGAGACTGACAGTAATTTCAAGTAATTTACTCCAAGTTTTACCAAAGTGCACTGCATTTGTGGTCACATGGGTACTATAATATATTAATTTTATTCTTTTTTCCCCCAAGACAAAAGCAATATATGCTTGAAAAATTTTCCATGTTGATTTATGTAATGCCTTCACATTGACTACAGGCAAATCTAATTTAAATTAAATTTCAAAGTTAAATTTGAGTTTAAGATTTTTGTAATTCTGATTTAGTTTGTCCATCAAGCAAGCACATCTCTAATTGAGAAAGATATCACTTGGTGGTTTTGCATCAAATACCCATAAAACATTTTTAACCTGACATAACTTTTTAGAAGTATTGTTTTCTGTTCTATGCTAGTCTGACAGCTAAGAGATTAGGAAAAAGGATTTATATAGTTTCTGGAACACTTCTTAGTCCATTTATATTTATTTCCGATACTTGGTGACAAGTAAAATTTGCACTTCAATGGATTCATTTTAAGAAACCTTTTCCCTGATTCCAAGAATAAAAATTTCCCCAAAGAGTATAGAATTTACAGAGTTCACATATCATTCATTCATAATGATTCACAGGAGTGCAGTAAACTGTAAACCTCACATCCTCCAGATATTGAAAATAACAGGGCTTAACCTAATTCTAATTACCCTTACACGTAGGACTAATGCTTTAGGAATAAAATCTTTAAATTTCATAAAAGTCTGTAATGTTCTTATAAAATTATGTCAGATTTTAAAAAATTTATTTTGTTACTTTAAAACACATCAGAGTCTAAATGTATTTTTATCCATACATTTTTGAGTAAAGATTTTAAGGCATAGGAAAAAAAAAGATTTTGGTTTTCTAGCCTGAACAAAGAAAAACTCAGTGTCGACAGGAGCATTTTCCAGATAACTGAAGCCTAACTCACTCAACATCAAAATGTTTAATTTTATTATTTTTAATGGAAATAAGGATGAACTGTTTCAAAAATCTTTCCGCCTTCTTAGAGACTAGTGAGGATAATTGGGCCATTTTTAGGTGTCTTAGACATCTCAGGCTGCTGTAACAAAAATACCACAGATCACGTGGCTTAATAGACAACAGAAGTTCCTCTCTCATGGTTCTAGAGATTGGAAGTGCAAGATTAGGGTGCCAGCACAGTCTCACTCTGATGAGAACACTTTCTGGGTTGCAGGGTGCAGAATTCTTGTAGCCTCAGGCAGAGAGTAGAGAAGAGAAACAAGATCTCTCACAACTCTTATCAGGGAATTAATCCCATTCATGAGGGCTCCACCCTCATGACCTCATCTAATCCTAGTTACTCTTTTGGGGAACTGGGAGAATTCCTCCCCCACCCCCACCCCTGCTTTTCCTTAAGGGTCTTGTGGCTGGTCAAATAATCAAAGAGGCAGGTTAGCAGGAGAAAATCAAATTAAATTTAATAGTGTCGATGAAAACAATCCATAACCAATCTATAAATGAAAATTTAGGTGAGTTTATTCTGAGCTGAAATCTGAGGACCATGGCCCAGGGCCTTTCTTCCCGAAGGAAGAAAGCGTACCAAGGAAGTGAGGTACACAGAGTGGTTATATACCCCCATACGGGACGTTTCACATATGATTGAAATGTCCCTCCCACAATAATCACAAGATTGCCCTGTTGGCACAGCGCTTGATGGACACAGCAGGTAGTGGGTCTGCTATCTCGGTGGGTGTAGCAGGAGGCAAGTCTATTGTCTCGAGCTGGGCGGTCACAGGTGAGTGCAGCAATCAGTTCCTAGCCTATGGAAAGATGCTTAATCCTTAAGGAGGGGGAGGGAAGTTGCACCTTTATCTCAAGGGCCTTTGTTCTTGCCATAGGGAATATCTAAAGCAGATATACAATGCATGCCCAATGGCCTCAGTCAGGCCCTTGTGGAGAGACAAGGTCAGGCCGAATTAGGTTTATACCAAATGGCTTCCTCATATTCTCCAATATATCCTATTGCTTGCCATTTTTATTTGTCAGTAGCATGTATACATGGGAGAAACCCCAACGAAACTGAGTAACTCAGCCTTCTGGCTGAGGCTGCCTGTTCAAGTATCTTCAGCTATAGACAAGGAGGATGTTGGGGATAATGATTTGGGTCTTCAAAGGGGAGGAAGACAATTTGCACAGTGATGGAATGCAAATGTTTGTTAAACAGGTTTTACTAGGCCAAAAAATGGGTTTGTTGGTGTCCTTTTATCACATCTGTTTACATCATACTACAGCTATCACATGATCTGAGCTCCTTCCTACAATAAGCCTTCTATGTTAAAGTCTTTCAGGCAGTTTTTGGTGGGGAAGGTCAGACACTCTTCCTGAGTCTTTTGAGCCTTCATTGTCTTCAGCTAGAAATAGCCTGCATACCAGAGTGGTGCATCTTGGGGTGACCTGCCCTGAACCCCATCACCTGTCAAACGCTGCACCTCTTGATATCTTTAAATGGAGGCATAGGGTTTCAGCATATGAATTTGAGGGGGACACAAACATTCACCTCTTAACACTAGGTGACCCTTAGATGGGTCAGCAAAATTCCATGCGTTATCTGATCTGGGTCTCTATTATAATGAACTAACTATAGCTTATCTTTTCACCAGTCTACTGTCTTATTTTACTTGAAGTAAATATCGATTGTGTAACTTTTTCCATTTCAGGCATTTGAAATAATAAGTTTAAGGGAATGTTTAATCTATGTATTATCGAATAAAATGAAGAAACAGTTAGTGAATACCTTTGTAGGGCAGTAAGACATTTCCTCTACCTGCTCTGGGTCCTTCTGACCAGACAACAAATTAAATTCACATGAGACAGAATATAGGAGAAAATTAAACAAAGTTTTACCACGTGTATACATGAGTGAGGCTCAGGCAAACTGAGCAACTCATCAAAATGGCAGAAGTTCTCATCTTTAATACCAGCCTCAGCTAAAGACAAAGGAGGATGTTGGGAGTGGGGGAGTCAGTTATGGGAAATCACCAGAAAAGCACAGTAAACAAGAGTAAGATTATTATGCAGATTTAAGTCCTTGCTTTCTGCATTGATAAGAGTTTCTAGAGATAAGATCATGCCCTCTTCTTCCAGGTACAGAGAGGGAGACACCTTTACAGATGGAGATTTCCTTTGCAATTGTAAATGTCTCTTAACAAAGGGTAAGTAAATTCTACTTTTCAGAGTTTCTTTCCTGTCTGCAGTTTTTAAAAGTAACCAGCCCAAAATAATCCTCATGCCAAAGAGACATATCTTGGGGTGGCCAATTCCAGGCCCCCACACCTTCTATATGCCAAGCACTGTGCTAAGGCTTGGGGATATACAGATGAATTAAGAAGGACCTAATCTAAAGAGCACATGGTGATATGGTCAAGTAAATTTTAATAAAGCATAAATTCTGTAATATAGGTAGTTACTAAGTACAGTGATGGTAAAAAAACAAGTGATCTACCTAAGTGGAAAGAGGGGACAATTTTGCTGGGTATTTTCTTCCTAAGTTTAGAGTCATGACAGTTGAAGGATTCATAAAATCAGTCGAGTAAATTGTGACCAGTATTTTAAAAAAAATAAACAGAAGAATAGAAATTATAAGATGTATCGTGTGATAAGATTAAAGATTTTTATATGAAACTTTTTTAATACACATATACATAGACATACTTGTTTGTGTACTTGACTGGTCTTTGAAATATACATCTCATTGAGAATCAACATCTAAATAGTTCTTTAAGTATTTCTTTGCATTACTGGAATAAGAAATAGCAGATGCAAAACGGAAATAAAACAAGTACCACATTCAGTTAACTATAGTTTCTTTTGTTCTTCTGGATTGTAGAGTATGTGTTAGGGAAATAAATGGAGAGAAGATGTAGGCAGGAGCCCCATAATGTAATGTGGTAAATGCTCTATAATGAATTTACACTTCTGAGATTTGTTTTTGTCAATAGGACATGACATTTCTGCTGCCATAGTAAAGGGCACACTTTTCTTCAGTTACACATAAAAGTTAAATTTTAACAGCATGGTGAAGTTAAGAGGAAGTGTTTCTTGCTTATGTGTTACTCCAGGAATTCAGGGATTTGAGGGCAAGATGATGTAATTAATATCTTTTTTGCAGGAGTGCCCAATTGGTTATGCCAAGGTCAACTGTACCTGTCAATCAGAATGAGACAGGAGCAGGTGGAGTGGAGAGGACAATTCTTAAGCTCCAACTGAGTTTACCTGAAGTAAGAGACTCGGCCTGGGCGGGAGGCGGCAGGGAGAGCAAGAGTACTTCAAGTGGGTTTAGGAGCACATGAGAACTGCTGATGGGAGTGGATGAAACTGATGTCCTGTGGAATGCCACTTCCATTTTCTTTTGACCACGTCTCTGGAAGAATTTGAGTCACATATTATGGTATGAAGGCTAAAGTCAAAAAATAATCCAAGAGTTCTATAAGAGATTCTAAGAGACTAATAGGGCCCTATTTTTGTCCTATTAAGTAAATTTTAAATGCATTTCAGTGCAAGAGGAAGGTTGTAAATTTTGAATCAGAAGACAGGATCTTGACAAACACTTTCGTGTTTGTACTGAGCAGATACACAAAGTCAAAGATAACTGGGAGCGTTATGAGGCAGCAACAGAAGCAACATGTAAGTCCAGGAGGAGAGATGAAGTGACCTCGGGTGTTCCTAGCCACAGGCATGAGAAATAGCAGAGATAAAGGTCCAGGGATGCTTTTGGATATGAGACCAATATTCATTCGTTTATTTATCAATCATTTGCAGCACACAGGATAATTATGTGATATGTTTATCTCACTATTTTTTTTTTTAATTTTTTTGAGGAAGATTAGCCCTGAGCTAACTGCTGCCAATCCTCCTCTTTTTGCTGAGGAAGACTAGCTCTAAGCTAACATCCATGCCCATCTTCCTCTACTTTATATGTGGTATTCCTGCCACAGCATGGCTTGCCAAGCAGTGCCATGTCCACACCTGGGATCCGAAATGGCGAGCCCGGGGCTGCAGATGCGAAACATGCGAACTTAACTGCTGCACCACCAGGCTGGCCCCTCTCGCTATTATTAATATTAGTTAAACTTTAATCTAGAAGAATCTTCAAAGTTGTTTTGTTTTTTTAATTACTTCTGCTCAGCACGTGTCTGAATGTAATTAATGAAGCACATTATGATAAATATCTAATCAAATCTTCTGCACTGCAATACACCATCCATTCCCTCCTGGAAAGTTTCTGACTTGAAAAATGTTCCAGTCATTCACTTAGAAATATTCCTGCAGTGCAGTAAGCCTAAGCCTAAACCAGTCTACTCTATTCATTTGAATGAAGTTTTGCTTTTTGCATTTCAGTGTGTCCATTTAAATTTCCATTGTGTTGGTAGGAATTATCTGAAAAAGTGAAATTCCTACATTTTGATGTCTAAGGGCAGCAGTCTCTTCTGCACAATTACCAACTCACCCTGGAGCCAGCCAGCTGGCATGCTCTAGACAAAAGGGGGCACCAACACCTCAATTTGGTTACATCACTGTTTGATATGGGCTGGAAATAGTGTAAAAAATTCTATCTATATGTTTACACATTCTTGTCAGTGTCATATTCACAATCACTTCATAGATGGACAGAAACAGAAAACAAAGCCCAGGACCTTTATTATACGATAGTATATATACATATTTTTCAAAAATATCAAAACAGAATTTTCCTTGGCTCATATTGCATATTTTTTATTCATTTGTGGTATTAATTTCGTGTTGAATCTTAGGGGCACAGATTTAGATTGATTCACCTTATCATCCTTTTTAGTTGAGACTCCCTTTTTTTTCTTTTTGTCTACCATTTCAATACCTTTCCCTATCATAAAAACACATTATCACAAATTAAATGCTTAACCTGCCAATTCTCCATCTCTCCCTTTATTTGCAGATATACATATAAGCGAGCAATGCTTAATGTTGTGTCATATGTGCTTTTAAAAATTATATGTATTTGATGTACATATTCTACTGCAACTTGCTTTTTCATTCAGGGTTTTTTTATTTGAGGTAATCTATGCTGAAAAAAGTCAATAGATTTTGAGATATATTTCATTAATTACATAGTGTTCCAGCTCATGTTATGCCACATTTTATCTACGCATTGATCTCATTAAGGCATAATAAGTTGTTTCGTAGGATGCTACGATGGCCATCCTCCCACGTATCTCCTTGTGTGCTCTGTACCAATTTCTCTAGGATATATGCCTAGAAGAGTATTGGTAGGTTGTAAAGGTAAACGCATTTTCACTTTGCCTACACTCCCAAATTTTTCTTTAATGTTACTGTGTTATGGTTTTACCATCGGCATATATGAGTTTCCCTTCTGCCCATACCCTCAAACTTTGGTGTAATCACACTTTTTAAAATTTGCCAATCTAGTGGATGAAAGATGTTTTCTCCTTGTTTCAGTTTGTGTCTCTTTGAGTACTAGTGAGACTGAGCAGCACCTTTATGTGTCCCCTGTGAATTGCCTGCCCAGAGCCTCTGCCCCTGTTTTCTTTAGTTAAATCATTTTCTATTTATATGAATTTGTATCTTCATGTTAATTTGTTTTCTCTCACCACTAACCTTTGGTTACACTTTTCAAACACAAAATAGTCTCTTTACCTATGGTATATTACTACCTTTCATAGTTAATCAAATTAGTTCTTATTTTCCTTGAACCGTGTAAAATTTCCTCTTATATACAGTTTAGTTTGTTCCAACAGATTTTGTTTCCTAGTGCTCTCGCTGGAGTTCTCTTCCAAAACTTCCATAGATGTCCTCTGTGTCCTTAGATTACTCAGGGGTGAGTGTGTGAAATACGTGTGGGTTTTCTCTTCTCCCTGTGGGATTTTTAAAAATATCTTTCTACTGTGAATTTCTAATGTCAATGCATGTAAACTAGGAATTTATCCTATAAAATGAAAATTCTTAGAATTTCTTGAGACAGCCACTATTCTCTAATATGTGGCCATTATTTCTCAATATTTTTATTATGTGATGAAAATTTTTATTTTCTATTCCTTGGGTATAAATTCTATGGGATAAAGGTCATGTAACTATATCATTCCTAATTTTTTGTCTGCTTGAATCATTCACTTATGGCAGAAATACGTTAATTATGAAACTAACTGTTGTCCCCTTTATGGTACCTCAGCTGCTGCCGTTACCCCTTCTCATCCTCTTCTTTCTTCTCACCTTTTTTGCTTAATATTTCCCTGATATATATGTTTTCTATTATTTTATGTTCAAATTCTAAAGACAGATATTAACTATATTCTGTCCCTTAGCATACTTTTGTATTTGTGCTTATTTTAAATATTATATCCCTTCTCTTTGCTCCCTTCCACCCCTTACCCTTCTCTCCTTCCTTTCCCAGGATACTCCAATTTTTGGTGGGGGGGTGGGGTGAGGAAGATTGGCCCTGAGCCAACATCTGTTGCCAATCTTCCTCTTTCTGCTTGAAGAACATTGTAGCTGAGCCAACATCTGTGCCAGTCTTCCTCTATTTTGTTTGTGGGACACTGCCACAATGTGGCTTGAGGAGCCGTACTAGGTCCACACCTGGGATCTGAACTTGCAAACCCCAGGCTGCTGAAGTGAAGCACGCAAACTTAACCACGATGCCATCGAGCTGGCCCCTATACTCCAATATTTTTAACCTTTGACATTTTAGTTCTGGACTTTTATGGAAAAATATGATTGTTATTGGATAAACCAATAAACAAATTTTAGTAATTTACTTTTGTTCTTTATATGTCTTAATCTTCTTCCTGGATTCATTTTTTTTTCTTCTCAGATAGCATCATTTAATAATCATTTTGGAGAGGGTCTCTGGATGATAAACATCCTGAATCACCCATATGTCTGAAAATGACTACTCATATTTAAATATTATTCTAGCTGGAAATAGACTCATTTTCACAGCTTTTCTTTTTCAACTTTTATGCCACTGCTTGATTGCCTACAATGTTGCTGGTGAGAAATCAGATATCCATCTTATGCTGACTAACTGTAGGTATTTTAGCAATCTCTTTGATATCTTTTATAAGCTTCACTTTATCCTTGCCTTCATGAAATTTCACTCCCGTGCATCTAGAAAGGGTTGCTTTTAATTTATTTATTTATCTTATACTAGCTTGTCCTATTAAATACACACTATGACAACATATAGCATACTTTAGTTCTGGGGATCCTTTACTATCCATTCTTCAAATACTTCCTTATTATCTTTTTTCTTTCTCTTTCTGAACTTCCTGTTATTAAGATTAGACTGTAGCATTTATTCTGTACTTCTCCATTTTTAACTTATATTTTCCATCCCTCTGTTCATTTCTGCTTTAAATTAGGCAAATGACTCTATTTCCTAACTTGCTAATTGGATCTTTGTCTTTTCCTATATACTGAGTATTTATTTTTTCATTTTAAGAATTTTGCTTTTCATTTCCGATATCTTCAATGGTTTCCTCTGAACAGACCCTGGAACACTCTGCCATCACATTTCTGGATTGCTTCACATCCTATACTTTTCTCCACCCTACTTCAGTCATGATCACACTCTGGATCATGTTATCATTTAAAATTCTAAAGAATAAAAATATTAAATTGTATTATCTTATTTCAACAACCACTTTCAACTGCTTAACTCTCATTTTGCCTGCACCTCTTCCTTGATCTCAGAGATATCTCTTGGGCTACTTTTTTTCTGTCTTATCATCTTGGCCTCTCTTTCATACTACGTATTAATAGATGGTTGAACCTCACAACCAGAGAGTTTTAACACATCTCTTTTTTAAATTTTTTTACTAAGATTTTATTTTTTTCTCTTTTTCTCCCCAAAGCTCCCCGGTATATAGTTGTATATTTTTAGTTGTGGGTCCTTCTAGTTGTGGCATGGGGGATGCCACCTCAGCATGGCTTGATGAGCGGTGCCATGTCTATGTCCAGGATCCGAATGGGCGAAACCCTGGGCCACTGAAACGGAAGGTGCAAACTTAACCACTTGGCCACAGGGCTCACCCTGTAACATATCTCTTTTAAAAACCAACACATAAATGTAATAACCCTGTCAAAATTAACTATAGTGGAGCCATTTTAAAATGGAGTTGGAGCTGCCTTTCCAGAGAAACTGCTTTGCTGTCTCAAACCCTTTAACTGGGCCAAACCTTTGGACTGGGCCCAAATGGCAATTGTTTTACAAGCAATTGTTTGA